TTAGTAATTTTTTAAAACTTCAAAGAGTAGAAAGGGAAGACTGTGATAATAAGTTCCTTGAAAGGACAAGAAAGAAAATAAATACTTTTCCACAGTGACTCCAAGGAACTATATAAACACTTCATATACATTATCTCATTAATCCTCATGATAACCCCATGAATTGTTGCTCCACTACTTAATAGATTCATCCAACAAAGGAAGATATTAAGAGTAAGAGATAATTAGTTTGCTCACACTCACCCTAGTAAGGGAAACTGGTATTACATTACAAAGTTTTTAAACAATACTACATTGCCTCTGAACATTTCAATGACCAACAATCCTATAGCTGTTCAAAAAAGCTGAATGGATGGTAGACAAATAATATGGCTAAGAAGGTAAACTGATGCCAGGTCATGAATGGTCTATATGTGTTGCTAAGACTTATTTTATCCTATGCACAATTACAAAAGTTGATGCTCATAAAAGTATCTCTTATTCTAAAAGACACAGAAATTCTGCAAACATTTTTGGTGGGAAAATGACACTTAAGAATTTCAGAAACATTCCTATATTTTAAAGAGAAAAATGGTTTTAGAATTTTTACTGAGACAATGAAGGAAATATAGTGATATAAAAGGAAAAATCATTTACTTTTACCAAAAATCTTTAATGCTTTATTATTTATACTTTATAAGAAAGTAAGAATTATAATCACTCCCCTTCTTTATTCCTTTACTTCTAATAATTAAACATTTATTTTTAACAAAGATAGACAAAGAAGAAATAACAGATCTTAATTTAAGGAGGTAAAAGTGATGGTGCCAAAGGGTTTGCTGATGGATCCTATGTGGATTATGGCAGAGAAAATTCAATGATGATATCAAAGTTTTGAGCATAAGCAGCCAGAATGACAGAACTACAATTCTTGGAATGGGAAAGGCTAAAGGAAGAAAAGTTGTGAGGAGAGAAATTAGGAGTTCAACTTAGTACATGCTCATTCGAGGTGCTTATCACACATTCAAGTGGAGATGGCAAGTTGGCAGCTAGATGTAGAAGTCTAGAGCTTAGGGCAGTGTTCCAGGTAGAAGTATACATTTGGGAAAGAGTAGCATAAAGATAATATTTAGAACCATAAAACTGGATCAAACTACTTAGAGAGTGACTACACATAGAAAAGATTATTTGGGAATGATCTCTGAAAGAGTCTAACATTTAGAGGTTGGGGAGGTGAGGAGAAACGGGGACAGGAAGTAAGGAGGAGCCAACAGGAGGGAAACTGGAGAAGTGCTGAAGAGAGGAATCATGGGTATCAAACTGCTCAAAGGTTGAGACAGAAGAGGAAACGATTTAACCACTGGATTTGGCAATGAGACATCACTGCTGACTTTGACAAGAGCACTTTCAGGGGTAATTACTAAAGCTCAATTTGAATAGTGCAAGGCAGAATGGAGCCAAAAACAAAAAACAAAACCTGGAGACACAGTTTCATAATAAAGGAGAGGTGACTGAAAAGTAGCTCATAGTGACTATGCGGAAAGTCTCTGTTTTGTTTTTTAACATGGGGAAAATAACAACATTGCTTGTATGCTGTGATGTGTGGGAAGATCTAGAAAAGAGGGAAAATAAATGGAAGAGGACAACTATTTGGGGTGAAGACCTTAACATAAGAGAGAAGATGGGATGTGGTGTACAGGTCAAAGGACTGGTCTTCCATAGCAAAATGATTATTTTACCCCTACAAGAAGCGAGGGAAAGGCAGACTGTATGGGACAGAACGTCTAAGAAGGGCAATTTAACAACATACAGGACTTAACAGTCTCTTTAAATCAGCCATTTTGTTTGTAGAAATTTGCCTCATTAAGGAAATAATCCTGTTTAAGTACAAAGACTTAGCTATAAGAATGCTTATGACAACATTATATTTAAAAGCAAAAAACTGAAGGCGTCATAAGAGACCAACAATAATTAGTTACTGGACTTTTCAGGCCTAAAATCCATTCAAGAAAAAATGTTTAAAGTTATATCAAGATGTAACTCAGAAAAACTGAGTTTCATCTCACTGGTAAACAACCTAAAACTAAAAACCAGTTTTAAATATGAAATATATTTTAGGATGTTTTCTATTAACATATTTCATATATTTAACTTTGAAAGGTAACAACGCTCCATTTCAAAAGACTAATGTCTAATAAACATTTTTAAAAAGTTCAGTGGCAGGGCGCCTGGGTGGTTCAGTCGGTTAAGTGGCTGCCTTCGGCTCAGGTCATGATCCCAGGGTCTGGGATCAAGTCCCCCCTCGGGCTCCCTGCTCAGCAGAGAGCCTGCTTCTCCCTCCCCCTCTGCCTGCCGCTCTGCCTACTTGTGCTCTCTATCTCTCTGTCAAATAAATAAAATCTTAAAAAAAAAAAATTCAGTGGCACCAGTGATCAGATAAATGCAAATTAAAACAATAGGAAAAAACCCCAACAGGATATCATTTTTCACTTAAAGAATTGGCCACACTTTTAATACTTAGTTGGCAATGGGGGGAAGGTGGCAATCTCTCATGTTGCCTATAGAAACTAAACTAGTATACTAGGCCTCTCTGGAGGGCAATATGACAGCATATTTCAAAAGCTTTAATAAATAATATATATGGTTTATTCAAGAAATTTTACTTCCAGGAGTTTAACTTAAATAATTGTGGTCTGTATAAAAAGATGTAGTTACAAAGTTATTAACTGCAATAGTGCATGTGACAGCAAACTAACTGAATGCATCCTAAAGGTCCAACAATAACTGGGTAAAGACGTTATATAGATAATTAAATTATATTCATTTAGGGAAATGAGGCTGTGGAAGGATAGTTAATGACATGCAAAAATGTCCATTATACAGTATTAAGGGAAATAAGTATTACATGTACATTACGATTCCATTTTAATTAAAGAAAAAATATATCTATGCATAGAAAATGCCGGAAAGCTACCCATCAAAATGTTAATGCTTCTAGCAGCTGCTTCTTAAAGGTAAGATTATGAGTGACTTAAACTTTCTTCTATCTACCTGTCTTTATTTTCTAATTTTTCTATACTTAGTACATATTACTTTCCAAATAAATTAAAAGGAGAAATTTTGTTAGGGATAGACTTTTACAGTTTCTTAAAATTAGAAACCCAATAAAGCTTTTTTAAAATTTGTCTAATACAGGCATATTTCATGGAAGCAATTGAATGTTTAAAATACTGGTTCTTTATGACAATAAGGATAGTTTAAATCTTTCTAAAAAGAAGATCTCCATGGTCAGTAATGCAAATGTGCTTATGACTAGATTGAACTGATATTTGCCTTCCCATTTTATTGTTCTTTTTATAAGATAGGAGAAATCCCTCAGCATATAAAGGAGAGGGAACTATACATACATGTTTGGATTAGTGCATCAGAGAAAGAGGAAGTTGCATAAAAATTCAGACAAAAAGTGGTTAAGCAAGTTGGAAACACAGAGCATATATCACCAAATTCATTCTGAGGGGACCAGTTGAGAAAGTTCCATTATTATAAAGTGTTGTAATAATTAGTACAGACTCATATAAGTAGGAGAGAAAAATGAGATTTCACACTTATCTCTATATTTTAAGTCACTTCCTAAATCACTAAAAATAGCCTTTCCACCTATATGTTAATGGCCAAACCCCTAATGTGCAGCTGTCATCTTGCTCTATAATTCCAGGCCTGTGGCACACTCTGCACAAACTAACTGTATGACTATGGACAAGTTATTTAACCGCTCTGCATTTCAGTTTTTTCATTTGTAAAATTAAAATAGTCGTGCCTATGTCACTGGCTTTTTAGGATTAAATGAGTTAATGGAAGGAAAGTACTTTGAACAATGCCTGATATATAGAAAGCTTTCAATAAGTATTATCACTATTCTTTTTACTAGTATTATTTTTGAACTATTTGTTACCTTCATAAAATGTCCTATAATCCAATACATCCCAAACAGTGTGATTTTATGCCTGTTCAAAAATTCTTGCTGTAATTTTTTTATAGATCTAATGTACTAGAATTATCCCTTTTCCCAAGTAATCCATTTACTCAAGTTAGAAATCTTGGTAGCATAATATTGTGTTACTTCTCCCTCACTACCTGAAGTATCTTCACAGTCCTATCTCTCCGATAGTGACTTCTCTCATCCTGGAGACAAGGACTATACTTCTCAGAATTTCACGTAGCACCTACAACCCTTGCAATCTATGTACCCCTGGCAGTTAGGAAAGTTTCTTTCTTACATTAGGTCCTCAATAAATGCATCTTCAGTGTGCGTGTGTGTGTGTGTGTGTGTGTGTGTGTGTGTGTGTGTATGTACATTACAAATATACATATATTACTCTCTCTCTTTCTGTTTCCCTTACAGCTCTGGCCTTACCACAACATTTTTAAAATATATAAAGACAATCATTCTATTCAGGAAACGAATTATGCACATAAAAAAATCCACAGATTTCATCTGATTAATTTTCAATGCTGATGAGATTGCAGGAAATTCTTAACTCTCACACAATCCTGGTAGTAGGATAAATTGGTACAACTCTTTTATACAGACATACTTTAAGGGCCATAAAATTTTTCATCGTATTTGCCTGAGTAACTGTAAATTCACAGTAAAAACAAAAAGAAAATTGATTTGCACAAAGTGTTTGCTATTCTTTCCTTTATAATGAAAAGAAAATGGAGAACAATCTGAATGATGGATTTCAGTTTTGAACTCTCAATGGACTATAACAGGGCTACTAAAGTTACCATTATGACTATAGCAATAGAAATACATGCTGTTTTCTAAAAACTACATTTATGCTGGAATTACAATTACACAAAAAGTGTATTTACAGAAACACTAAAAATGCAAATGGATTTTGTATTTTTGAATGATTTCTGATACTGAAATAAAAACAGTTTTAATCAGATGACTATGTTACACATGATATTCAACTATAAATTAAGATTTCAGTAACATATTTCAAAACATCAAATACCTCTGGGTAAACTTCAAATATGGTGTGTAGTCTATTACGGCAGGAAAGTTTCCATCCAATCCTTCTCCCTTGAGGCAGAAGCTAAGACAAGAGACAATAAATACGTCACATAATAAACTTTTAAATTGATGCTAAGTGTTATAAACAATCTCTTGTTAGAGACGTGTTTCATCAAATTGCAGGTAAATTTTTTTATTTATATTTTATTCATATTTAATTCATACATTACTTGTTACAAATGAACACCTTAATAAAGATACTCTACTTTCACTACCAATGACAAAGGACTGCACAAGTTAATACACTCTAATATGAATATATCACGCAAAAGAAAAACTTTCTGAGAAATCTGTTCAAACATTATTTGTCAGACACTACCTTGGTCCTCATGGATTTTAAGATGTTACTAGAGGATTTTCAAATGAAGACTTGTTCACATTTTCATACAGACTCTTATTTGACATTGACTAACTCCTTAAAAGGTCTGACTAATTAGAAAATGAAAGTTTTTCTAAAATATCTGAATAAGTGAAAGGGCTTGGATCCTAGACCTAAGAAGAATGCTAAAAAAAAAACCCTTTTAATCTTTAGTCAATCCTTTTTGAGGCCATGGCAACAGGGAAAGGTTGAGATTTGCCCAAAGTCATACTGGGAGTCTCATAAAGCCAGTAAAGAAACTCTAGATCTCCTGGTCTCCCAATCCAGTCATCTTTGTTTTGTATGATGGTATATCCAACTGGATAATAAAAAAAGATGTTTAGTTTTATTATTACTATTACTAAAAGAAAAAAGTACATCCTCTAGGAACATAAACAAGAACATTGTTATCTTTTAAAAAACAAATTCATCTATGAACTCCCACCTTCTGGTTTCTTTGGGAAGTTTGCCTGTTGAAATACCATTCTAATATAATATCAAGGGTATGTACGTACTTTTTCATACTTGAATAAGGAGTGAACAAAAGTAGCCACACTTGATAAGAGCTTTCCTTCATTTATAAAACTATTACTAATGTATCTTTAAGATATTTGCTTTCACAGCAGCATGACAAGTGAAAAATTAACACACATAGAAGGATTAAAAAAAAACCAACCTCCATATTGCATCTATCATATTCATATTCCGAATAATTCAGCTAATAACTGAATACTTTATTAAATCTTAGAGGATAATTATGCTGACAAAATGAAAGTATTTTGAAAAGGAAGTGTTTACTAAAAAATGGTAACCTCAGTGGAAATGAGCAACATTATTTTTTGATTCAAAATCTAACAGTAGATTTTCATTTAAGTTTATACTTATTTTGTTGATATTCTTCGATTTTTAAGTGATGCTTTTCAAAAAATTTTTTAATATTTCCATCATTCTTATGTTTGAGTTCTTGTTATAAACAAACCTTTTACTTTTATTTTTTTTTTAATTTTATTTATTTATTTGACAGAGAGAGACACAGAGAGAGAGGGAACACAAGCAGGGGGAGTGGGAGAGGGAGAAGCAGGTTTCCCGCCAAGCAGGGAGCCCGATTCGGGGCTTGATCCCAGGATCCCGGGATCATGACCTGAGCCGAAGGCAGATGCTTAATGACTGAGCCACCCAGGTGCCCCAAACCTTTTACTTTTAGCATAATGTAAAATCTTGGATCGATTAAAGAAATGCAAAAAGATACTCTTATAAATCTATGAAAAACTTACACTTACATTTTTAGTACTTATAACTTTAGTCTGAAATCAATTCATCTTGTTGATAATAAAAGCAAATATTAACAATATTTTTGCTGGTCTAGATATATAATACAAACATAAGATACCCAAGATATGCCAGGATCTTTTTTATTTCAATACATGAGATAATAAAAATCTTTCTTGCTTTGAATCTACTTTTAGTGCATCTCTTTATTTTAAAGCCGGAGCTAAAATTACTAAGAGATAAGATCCAAAAATTTCCTCCAGTGCTACCAGGGTATATAATTTTTCTGCTGGGGAAATGCAATCTTGGATTGTTTTGCCCAAGCTAGAGAGCAAACATGTCAGTTAATTCCTTAACCTGAGACAGCCTCTATTCTGAGAGCAAACTAAGAAAGCCGATGTTGCTGGATAGGGAATAACATGAATCAAATATCAATATCCAGCTGTGTGCTTTACTTATTAGCAAACCAAGAAAAAAAACCTAGGTAGAAACTATTATGAGGTTGTATAACTTAAAAACTGAATACACTTAGATTAAGTACCTGAAATCAATAGCATTTAGTCCAAGCAGCATGCCAGCAAGCATATTTGCTTCCTCACCCAAGACAATTGCTCCATCTTCATAAAATCGCCTAAAAAATTAAATGGGTAAATATGTAAATATTAAAAGCAGACTGAAGTTTCATCTATAGAAATTATTTAGAGACGAAGCTAAAGTAGAAAGAACTAAATTTTATTTATCAAAATAAAAACTATCCGGATCACCCAATTCTTGTAGATATTTAGAAAAAAAAAAAATCCCAGCATTAACAAAAAAACCATTCTAAGTGTTTCCACTTCTCTTAAAAAGAATCCCTAAAGTGACTCTTTCAATGGGCCAAGACTGTCTACTATTTTTCCCTAATAGTGAAGCAGTATGAATGTAATTTGAAAGGTGGCAAACTCACAGTCATTTATACCGGTCTCTTTCTGAAACTATGTAGACTACTGTGGTATACATAGAACAAACACAAACGCACATTGTTTTTCTGTAATGCCAAGGGTCATTAACTAAATGAAGAACTAGAAAGATGTGATCATTAGTAATTCATGCTAACCTTTAACACTACAATACTAATGGGCTAGCAGGGTGACTGTGTATGAAAAAGAAAGTGTTCATTATCTCTGACAAAATATGAATATGAATCTATCAGTGTTAATTCCTATAAAGCTTTCTGTTTCAGTTAATATTAGTTGTTAAAATACTAAAATTTTATTTTAATATACTTAAAATATTCTGAGAAAATATCATGATATGAGCCAAAAGGTATTTTTCCACAAAAGAATGTAAGATCATTGTATTTACTTTCTTTAAAAAATAATACTGTGCAAAAGCTAGTTTATGTTCAGTAAGCAGGGATCATTTCATTGTTATATCTATTTATATTAGATATAGATAGTAGATGCCACTCTGTAAGACCCCACTAACTAGAAGGAAAACATTTTAGTAAATGAAATTTGTCTTACTCTTTTCAGTAAAAAAGATTTTAATATGCTCATATGAAATCCCACTGCCAATTCTGCATAGTTCACAGTTTAAAAATACTTTTACAAACATATCATTTGATACTTGCTCAAATAGCCCTGAGGCAAAGGTGGAAACTATCATTAATTTCAAATTTACCATCAAGAAAAGTTAAGAATTAGGTTAAAACAACTTGCCCAAGCTCATGCAGATAAACTGCTCAAGAAAGAAACCTAATTCTTTTTAAGTTCTATACATTTCTATTAAACCATACCACTTCCTATAAAACAAAAATATTTAAAGAGAATTTAACCTATGTTATAGTTCAAAAGGAATTTTAAGTGAATAAAAAGTACAAGGGAAAATAAGAGACCACTATTCTACCCTCTGTCAGATATAAGGCTACAAATAAATATGGTGGGAAGACTGGCTTGGAATAGGTGTTTTCTGTTTCCTTGGAAATATGGGAATTGCTTTTATTGACTTATACAGAAAAGAGAAAAACTAAAGACTTCCAGTCTAACAAAGATTAATAAAATAAATGGAAGGAATTTCTATATATTTAACTAAGATATTTAACAAAAAGATAAAGATATTTAAATAAATCTATATACCTGAGATTCTGTCACTGTCCCAATAGCTAAATTGGCTGTTGACAGACTATTCTGACTCCTAGAAGAACTATGATTACAATGACTCTAGATCCCCAAATTCTATGGGACACATGGCTTAGAAAGAATTCTGGTTTTTGATACTGGGAATCACCCATTATTCCTAGTATTTCCCTTTATAAGAAAAGTTCTATTTTTTTTTCCTCCATCTTGAGTCCACCATGTTTAAAAGTACATTCTTTAAAAATCAGATCAAAATTACTTCTGCTTGTTTCCTAATGTCAAAATTGACTTAGGGACTGTTGAAGAATATCAAACACACACACAAATCTAACCAATTTTAGAGATTTCTTAAAGTCTAAAGATCTTACATATGTGTGTATATAATATTGTTTTGAGGAGTTTTTTTGGTTTTAGTTTTACTAATAATTTTTGAAGTTAAACAATATAAGTGAAACACTTGCTACATGTGAAATAATTTCACTCAAAACTATACCTGAAGTATAATGTTGTACAAACCTCATTTACTATAACCCTTTTTTTTACAAATTCATTTTTTTATTTTATTATGTTATGTTAATCACCATACATCATTAGTTTTTGATGTAGTGTTTGTTCCATGATTCATTGTTTGCATATAACACCCAGTGCTCCATTCAATACGTGCCCTCTTTAATACCCATCACCAGGCCAACCTATCCCCCCACCCCCTTTCCAGGAAACTATTCTTAATCCAAGGTCATGAAGATTTACATTTATGTTTTCTTCTAAGAGTTTTCCATGTAAGTCCGATCGATTTTCAGTAATTTTTGTATATGCTATGAGGCAGCAGTATACAAGCAATTTTTACAATGGTTTTCATCTTAATAATGTAAAACTTTTAAACAGATTCAGATTCGAAAAGTCCTTCTTAGCTCTTGAAAGATATGTTATATTGTTCACTATCTACTTTTCTATAAGTGAGAAAAGTATTTATCAACTCCTTTTTCACTTTGTGAGAGCTCAGTAATTTTTGAAGTTTTATTTTCTACTTACTCCTTCCTTTTCTTAGTCCTATATAATATCAAGAAAATTGATATTTCTTCTGAGCATAACTTTTGTCATTATAAATTAAGTACTGTGGTACAATTTTAAAGTATTAAATAGGTCTCCATAAAACTAATTATATCTCTTCTTTACATTTTCCATATTTGCTACTTCAAATTCTTATCAGAATGTTTTCAATTTTGTTTCAAGTGTCACATTTTTGCTTCTTAGCTTAACTTTTCTAATTATTTTTCAGTCTGTGGATGGGGAGAAATTAAAACTCAGAGCAAATTAATTCAGTTTCTCCCTTACCTACCTTATCTTACTCTCTATTCTCAGTCTTCCCAGTAACCTACCAAAACAATTCCCCCCCACTTTTTTTTTTAGCTTGGATTCTAATCTCAAATCCGCCAACCTCCCAACTCTGGTTATTTCCCAGTTAACACCTCAATCCCTAAACCATGAAACTCTGCAAGGGTTGTTTTCAATAGCTAAGACATCCTCCACCTTAGGAAAAAAAAAAATCACCTGAATGTCTCTAATACTCTGGAGCCATGTGATGTACTCCTACCAGAGGATTTACTGCATTTCTCATCCCCATACTTCCTCCACCCAATCTTATCCTTGGATTTCCACTGATTAGTATTCTCAAGCTTGCCTATCTTAGCCCATGGAGATCCTCCTTCTGTACTGGGGTAAACACTTGTATTACCAAAAGTCATTACTCTTTATCTTTGAAGAGTAGAACAAGAAGAAATTACTTGATTCAGAAACTCTCAAGATTCCTAAAGGATCAGAGATCATTTCTCATTGTTCTACAAGCACTTATATCAGGCAGCATCCAGACAAAAGGTAAGGTGTAACTATTCTTTCCAATAGTTTGCTTGTATTTTACAAACCTAATCTTCCAAATAATAGATACGCTGGGGCTAGAGGTTCACAATCAAGTTTACTTATAAATTAAGAAGTTTCTTTGGTTTGATTTCAATAAAAACAAAAAACAAAAAACAGTGTAAATAGTTTAAAACAAAAAAAGGAAGACTTTGCAACCGCATTTTTCAGTTAACTTCTAAGATGAGAATTCTGAAATAACTCCTTACTTCCTTTCCTGGGAATTAGAGCCATTATATTCACATTTAAGTACTGTGTGTATGTATATATATAAACATTATATATTTGCATGTATGTATGTATAAACATTTCCTAAGCCATGTTTCTGTTTGAATAAGGTATGCTTATATATTGTTACAAAAGTATTTTTACTTGATGGACTTTTTTGAGCTAAATCATTTCCTTTTTATCAAAAAGGACAGCTAACACCTCAGAACAAGGCAAAAAGCATTTCCCTTTAAATATTTGAACTTCTCATTCTAAAAATAATCTATTTGAGAATTATTTCTACCCCACCCAATTGTCTAAGAAACAAGAGTAACAACTAAGATTATTAATGCTTTAATTTTTACTCAGAAGACTACCATAACCTTAATGCAGCCTTGTTATTGAACAGGAGATGATTTCTGTGTAAACTTGGTTTTGATTTCATTAATTTAGGAGTATTAGGTTTGATCTATGAGATTTTGATACTATTATTTTCAAAGCCTTAGTATCCTTAATATTTAGTTTTCATAATTAAACTTATTTACTAGTGATAATAAATAAAAAACAAATTTTTCATTTCATGAAGTTCACCGCAAACATCATTTCACTGCCTATCTTTAGAAATATCCCTAAAGAATATTGCTATAAAAGAATTCAATAATTATATATCAAATAATTATGTGCTATGATAGAGGTGTTAGTTAATGATATGGCAGTAATCATTTTGTAGTACATAAGCATATCAAATAAACATGTATATCTTAAACTTACACAGCATGTCCATTATATCTAAGTAAAGTGGGAAATAAAACAAACAAAAAAACAAAACAAAAAAAAGAATGTATCATAATAAATGTCGAGATTTTCTCAAAATCCAAAATGCCAAATATTGCATCAGGACATGGAAATTAAGATTCTTCCAGGTATATGATTTCTTTATCTATGGACCTAACTTCCTCTATCAAAACTGATTTATAGTTGTCACTCTCATCTTCTCTTTCACAAACATGATTTATGAGGTAGAAATCAGTATGGTAATTTAGAAGTGTCTAAGGCAGTGTGGTCCAACAGAAGGTTATGCATCTGTGCTGTGCAATTTGGTAGCCATTAGCTGCACATATCTACTGAACACCTGAAATGTGATATGGCAACTGAAGAAGTGATTTAGTAATTTTACCTACTCTTAATGAGTATTAATTTACACAGTGGCACGTGGTTAGTGGCCACTGTGTTAAACAGTACATGTTTAAGGTATTGAAATTATTGAACATTTTCATTTACAAACACTTTTGAAATGGAGAAAAGTAGTTTCTTTAGCAAAAGCTATAAACAAAGATTAGTAGACCAGGATTTTATAGGAATGCCTGTTGTCTTAATATGAATCTTTTTTCTACTACCGTAAAAAAATAATAAAGTCCTGTTTTTCACATGGCAGAGCATGTCATCTCTTAAGTGTATACAACCTAAGAAAAACAACATTCATATAGCCTGCCATAAAAAGACAATTGAGCGATCATTAGTTACATATATGAATTAAAACAAAGAATAAAATGTGGAAAGAGTAAGAATGCTGTAGAAATTTCATGGTTAGATTTTCCTTCAAATTAACTGGTCAGGGAAAAGTCTGTGGAGAGAATGAAATTTCAGGTATTGAAAGTGTAAGAAACAGAAATGATTGAGAGAAAAGATATTCTAGACATAATGTGAAGCCTCAAAAGATAAACCAAAGTAGATGTCTGTTTAGCTGATGAATGGCATTTTCCTAAGATAGTGGATTTACCTGAGCAGTACAAAAAGAGGAAATAAAATAGTTGAAGACTTTAGAAGGGAATTAATCTTCATTCTAATCTTTATTTCTAATCTTTAGCTGACTGTTTTAAATACATATTTGAAAATCAAAAGGATGTTTAAACCTGGTTGTTTTGAAGTCTCTCAGAGCTGTAGAGATGTATTCAGATAAATGTTTTTCCATGAGTGCTACTCTGATCCAGGCTCTACCCTAAAAGGAAGAAGAAAGAATCAAATGTGAAAAATAATTACAAGTTAAAAATATATTTTGCCCAGTGTGTCATCAAAAATGTAAGCATTTTAATATGTGAAGAACTCAATCAAAATATACATTTGATAAAGGTTAAAAAATATTTAAGTAGGTAAGAATGGGTAAATTTTTATTACATATAGTATACCTTTGTTCTCTAGAGATACAGGATACAGTATATCATACTAACTTTCTATCCTCTGAAGGGACATAACTATTAATATTGGATCAGAGACTTCTTTTCATAACTCTCTGCCTCAATGCCCAAATCAACATGCTAATTAAAATGAGTCTCCTTATAAAACATGAACAGAATCCATTCTCTTCTAAAAGAAAAATCACTGGCACACCACTTAAGAAAATTTCCCACCTATCTTTCCAGAGGGAGGTTTTAGATAACTAATAATGAACCAAATTTCATTATTTATCATGCATCCAAATCATGAATTACTGAGTTTGCACCCAGGACAGTCTAAAAACTATTACTGAATATTAAGCCAAAAAAAACAAAAAACAAATGCACAGCAAAATTATTCAGAACCAATTTCTAGCAGAAAATCACAGAAAAAGACAATTCTGACTAAAGTGAATAATTTAATTTTATTTTTGAAAGGGGTAATATCATTCAATAGTTGAGAACAGCCAGTTATTTTTTTTTTAATAATCCAAAGCATTTCTCCTGGACTCTTTGTTTAGAATGAAAGAATATAAGAGGTCATATTTGTAATGAGAATTTTTTAATTCGATTACTTTTATTTTCACTCAGCCCTCCCACAAATCTCCAGAAAATCCATAAAGATTAATGAAATAGAAAATCAAAACACTTCAATGACAGCTGAGAATAAAGGTGACACTAATCAATATATATGATGGTTGACTACCCATATGGAGAAAAAAAGCATTCTTTAGATATGTCTACAACTTTAATGAATTCACCAAACTTCCGGATAGGAAGGATCAAAAAGCAGTCAATCTAGACAGTGGTAAAACCTGACCAACTAGAAGCAGCAGTATTGTTGGGAAATAAAGGAATGATATGGGTGTGATTAGCATGGCAGTCAATTTGCCCATCAAGCTCAAAACCCCTTTTAGCTTGCACAGTGTTCGGTCCATTGTTTTCTGCAGAGTAAGCCTTGAGGAACCTACAGTTAGCTGTAGCTGACCTAACAGGAAGGAAGAGGCAAGCCACTGGTCAGCAATCCCAAGTTTCTCTCTCGAAATTTCCTTTGAAAGACAAGGAGGCTGGTAGTAGTAGCTTGAATCAAAAGGCTAAGATTTCACCGGAGCAGAAGCTGGGAGAGTTGCTCTCCAGAGAAAGTTAGACACAGGAGACTGTGCTATAGCTAGATAAGAAATGTGGGGGAAAGCCCTGCTTCCTGATTTAATAATTTCAATACATGCAAAACTGGGCTGCACTTAATTTCCTGTCCTTGGATGTTTGTGGAATTCTCTATTGTATTATAATAATACACTGTGCTAATTTTAACAGTTTCTTTTCTTTCAGCAAAAGAACTTTTACTAGAACAGAAGATAAACAGACTTATAAATGTAGGGGCCATGAAGTGGGGAAGTCGAAAAACCAGGTTTAAGATTTTAGACTTTATCAAAGTTGGATAATGGTGAACCACTTAGGTTTTTTTTTTTCTCCAGGGACACAAATATTCATTTCTTTGTCACTGAAAGTTTTTGAAAAATAAATAAATAAAAAGCAGTCAACACTTCTGAAGGCTGTAATTAATATATGCTTGGCCCCATTTTAAGATACATTAAAATATTTATATACATTAGGATATTTAATCTTCCCAGGGTGCCCGGGTGGCTCAGTCAGTTAAGTATCCAACTCTTGATTTCAGCCCAGCCCAGGTCAGGATCTCAGGGTCGTAAGATCAAGCCCCCTTTGGGCCCCATGCTCATCAGGGAGTCTGCTTGAGATTCTCACCCTCTCTCTACCCGCCCCCCCCACTCACGTTCTCTCTCTCAAATAAATCTTTTAAAAAAAGATATTTAATCTTCCCAAGAATTGTGTGAGTTAGGTTACAATACTATCCCTACTCATCTCTACAAAGAAACAAAAAATAGACAAATCAAGAAGATAGGAAACATCTCACCACCAAACCAACCTAACTGAATAAAAACCTATACACTCTACCTTCCCTCCTGTTTCAGGGGATAAACTGTAATCATTTAAGAGAACAAAAAGACAAATTACATAGTAGGCAAAGATATCTGCATTACATGCATCTGACAAAAGACTCATTTGTAAAATAAAAATAATTCTTACAAATCCATAAGAATAAATTAAAAATGGGGCCTGCAAGGGGAAGACTTCAACTATAGATTCAACTTCTTTAGAAGATATCAGAATATTCAGATGTTTTCTTCCTTTTCATGTTAGTTTTATGATTTTTTTCAAAGAATTTGCCCATTTCATGTAAAGTTTAAAATTTATAGGTATGAAGTTATTCATAATATCCTTCTAGGATTTTTAATGCCTGTAGGGTCTATGGGGTTCATTGGCCTCTTCTTTATTCCTGATATTGTTAATTTATAATCTCTCTTTTTCTCTTTATGAATAGTCTTGCTAGAAGCTTATCAACTGTATTAATCTTTTTAAAACCATCAAATTTTTGTTTGGTTGATTTTCTTCTAGTGTACATTTTTTCATTTAATTCAATTTTGCTCTTCATCATTTCTTTCCTTCTTTTTCAGTATATTACTTTTTTTAATAGCTTTTCAGACGAAAACTTTGATCACTGATTTTTAGCCTTTAGTCTTTCATATAAATGAGAGCCTATATTTAAACCTATTTTCCTCTAAGCACAAATTTTTACATGTTATATTTCATTATCACTACTTTCCACATATTTTTTCAATTTCAAGTGTAATTTCTTCTTTCATCCATGAGTTATTCAGAAGTCCTTCTCAATGTTGACTCACTTAAGCATTTTCTTGTTATCTTTTTGTTATTAATTATAGCTTAATTCCATTGTGGTTAGAGAACACACTTTAGATTACTTCAATCTGAAATCCACAGAGATGAATTATAACTCAGCCAATGATCAATTTTTGTGTAGGTTCTATGTTTGGTATGAATGAATATTTTATAGTTTTTTATTTACACTTTATTATATACTCCAGTTCTCTGGTACTACTAGTCCTTATATTTTCTACTACAATTACTTAAAAGTTCATTATCTGCTTCTCCCATAGGTCTGTTTCAATTGTCTTTTTTATATTTCTTAGTTTTCGTCATTTGATCTTGTTTCCTGATATGTGCAGTGGTTTCTGATCCAATATTGTACACTGCATATAAAAATTTGTAGCTGCACTAATGCTATCTTTCCTTTGAATAGATTTATTTTTCAAGGAGGCAAGGAGTGTACTTGAAAATCACTTTGCACTATTTAAGGACACCACTTTTAGGCCTTTTCTGGGCTGGTCTTCATCTGAATTTCCCTTACTCCCCAGGTGGAGCCTTTCTGGGATCTCAAATAAAAGCCTAGAGTATTTTACAGGGCCCTGCCAACTTGTTTGGCCTTGAATTCTAACCTCTGTCTCTCCAGAACAAGACTGTGAAATCTTTAATCAGCTTTTTTTGCCTCCTACCTGCTGCTTTCAGCTTGGTTTATGAAACTTCTGCTCTGTGCTTAAGGTAGCTAAGAGTTGGCAAACAGCTCACAGGGAAAACTGCATGTCTAACCTCTGACACATATGTCTGTGGTTCTCTCAGTATTTTAAGTCCTGGTTTCACTGGCAGTTCCCAGCTCCCACTTCTGTTTCTCTAGCTCAGGGAAACTAGAAGAGCCCCCAGAACTCTCTGATTAGCCTCTATACTGATGATGTGAACAGACAAATGCCCTTAGGCTAAAAGCCAAGATGAATGTGGGGCTACCTCAACTACCATCCTTCTCTCCAGTACTGTGGCCACTGCCGTCCTCATGACTTGGTTGTTCTATTAGGTCTTAAATTTGTTGCTCTGCATATGTTATCCAATCTTTACAGCTGTTCTTGTTAGAAGGGTTGCTCTAATATAAGCTACTTTGTCATCACTAGAAGCAGAAACTGGTTCATTTCTCACCTCCAGGATCATCTGGGTTTTTTGACTCAAGTTATACCCTTCTGACATGACTCTCTCTCCCTCCCTGTGCATGCTCCATACTGCACTCAGTGGATCTTTTTGAAAAGTAAATTAGATTATAGTACTCTATTGTTCAAAAAAAATTAAAGATTTTTTAATTTTTAAATTAAAGTTGGCACCTCATTGAGAATAAAATCTCAACTGTTAATATGCCTTGCTTCCTCTGCTCACTATCTGCACAGCACATTTCTTCCCATAACTCACATTCTGGCTCAAACGTTGTTGCCTTACACAAGTCTTCCATACCTACAATATCTAAAAGAGTGCTTTCTTCCACCACCCTGATCACTTTCTAATCTCTTAAACGGTTTCATTTTTCATGGCCCCATCCAACCCAACGATTGGATAAAATATGCAGAGCAACAAATTTAAGATCTAATAGAACAACCAAGTCATGAGGACTGCATTGGCCACAGTACTGGAGAGAAGGATGGTAGTTGAGGTAGCCCCACATTCATCTTAGCTTTTAACCTAAGGGCATTTGTCTGTTCACATCATGGTACAGAGGCTAATCAGAGAGTTCTGGGGGCTCTTCTAGTTTCCCTGAGCTAGAGAAACAGAAGTGGGAGCTGGGAACTGCCAGTGAAACCAGGATATACAAATATTATGTATATATTTGTTATATCATTAAAATATACCACACATAACATTTGTTCTCTGCCATCTTTTCAGCAATGCCACTGTATCATTAGTACTTATAACAGTTTCTAGCACACAGTAGGTACTCAATATATATTTGTTGAATATGTGGAGAAAACTCAAGCAGATAAGTAACTTGCTCATTGCTAGTAGGCGTTAGAGGCACCACTCACAAGTGGGGAAA